GAATCAAGTTTAGCTGTACCACTGAAGCAGTCTCCAGAAAGGCCATTTCCATCATACTGCAGGCCAGACAAGGCCTGTTGCTGTTCTGTCTTTTCTGCCCTCTCTGCCGGGTGGCCAATGGACTATCTTTAGGATGATATGCTAAATATGTTATCAAGCAAGTACACAAGGAGAAGCCGTATAAAATACTAACAGTTTTCATGAACTTGTATGGCTACAGTGTGTTTACCTCAAAGGTATTGTCATGAAAACTGCTTGGCTATAAATATTCAACTTAGTAATGAACAATTGATATTACTTTTGAGTTTTTTTAAATAGGTTTTAATTTTAGAGTTAATAGCTAATTATATTGTCATTTTTCTTCTGTTTATTATTTTACTTTCTCAAGATCATCCTGATGTTTAGAATGTTTTCACTTACTTGCTCTACAACTCAGAACCTCAGGGTGTTTATAATGTGCACAACAGGGGGTGATGGTGGCTTATGTCAGTCGGAAGGAACTATCAGTAGGCAGGCAGTCTCGGGCTGTCAACATCTGGGAAGAGGAGGAGGTTGCAGTTGTTAATTTTTGAATCCTCTGATCACTCAGTTGTAAACACTCAGTTTGCACCAGCATAAAGAAGCATTAGCATCTTTGGGCCTGATTTATGGTAGGTGGCAGGGGAGTGAGGGCGGGGGAGGAGGGGGTTAGTTTTGCCAATTTCCCACAGGCTTAAAGTCTTGGTCTTTGTCATGGCTGTGACCAAGTCAACTACATATTCACTCAGGGTTTCACTCACTCATGGCTTGTTCTTCTCCCTACACATATTAATAAGGCAATAGGATACACATATAGTTTACTGTTTAAATCAGGTTAGAAAGACACATCTTTACAAACATTTGTAATTTCTCTATGACTAAAGCATGCCATATATACAGTGAGTAATTGTTATTAGTAGACATCCACTTGGACGCTAGCACTCAGGAGTTTTAGTTGTAACTTGGTATCCATTGGAATGCCTTTCCCTGTCCATCCCCACTGCTTTACTCTCAACTTCTATACCTCTATTGTAGAGTATGCATGCAGTGATGTCATCTTATACTTGTCTATCTGAGCCTGTACTCTTTCACTTTCCATAACCTCTAATTCCATCTTCACGGTTACAAATGCCTGAATTTTGTTACTTTTATGCCTGAGTAGTATTTTATTGTATATATGTACTACATGCTTGTTATCTTCTCATTAGTCAATAAACACACAGGTCGTTTTCTTTTTCTTGGTTATTGTGAATAGGAGTACATTGAGCATAATGATGGAGATTCCCCAGGGACACACTGAGTTCAATTTCCCAGCAGTGAAATTGCTGCATTGTTTGGCAAGTTTTCCCTAAGACCTCACATAACAATCAAGCTTAGGATGGAACATCACTGGAATAAGTTCAAAGAGAAACAATAATACATGGCTCTTTTGGGTACGTGAACACAATGTATGACTCTTAGAATTTGGGTCCATGTTTTAAGAATTGAAATGTCTGTGTACTCAACCAATAAAGTCTCAGTTGTGAAAGAGTAAAAAAATAAATAAATAACATAAGCACCCTTTCCATTAGAAGATCCATTAGTAAAAACTAGCATAGCATCTTCTACAGGGTCTTTCATAGTGATTTTAGGAAATACAAAGGAATGCATTTGAATAAATTGCAACAATGGATCATATGGGAACTGATTATCAATTTGGCATGAAAACAGAAAAAGCAATTGTCCAAGAATCACTATTTTGAAAAAGCCAATCAACTTGCTGCTTTGTAAAAGGAACACTAATTACCATAGGTTCTATACCAAAATAACATCTAAATCCAATTCTGCTTTTTTTTTTGTACCAAACAAGCTACAGACTCATAGTAGGGATTCAATGTTTTGATTGGTGAAACAGGAAGCTGTAACCATAAGAGAGGATTGTTTTGCCATAACACTTCTGTAGGAGCATGTCTAGTGGGTAAAATATATGTATAAAAAGGTAGGGTGAAATTAATGTAATGTACTTGCTGGTTTTGAATAGCCTTTTCAACTTGCAAGAGAGCTTGTCTACCTGCTTCAATTAACTCTCTGGGTGAATTAGGATCATTATCTCCTTTTAAAACACCCCTTAAAGGTTTCAAATCACCTGCAAATAGTTTTAAATAAGGGTGTAACCATTGTATATCCCCCAATAATTTCTGAAAACCATTTAAAGTTTTTAACTCATCCTTTCTTATTTCCAATTTTTGAAGTTTTATTTCCTTGGGGTATAATACATGTCCTAGATATGGAAAAGGTGACTGTCTTTGCACTATCTGTGAAGTGATCATTAACCCTGCTTGAGTATGACAGTGCTGAAGCTGTCCTAAGGCATCAAGAAAAATTTCTTTGTCTTTATGCACAAGCAAAATATCATCCATGTAATGAATAATATAAGCCAGCTGAACTTGCTCTCTAACTTTTTGGATAGCTTGAGCTACAAATTTCTGACACAGTGTTGGGCTATTAACCATTCCTCGGGGCAAAACTTTCCAATGGAAACTTTTCATGGGTTCTTTAAAGTTGACTGAGGGAACACTAAATGCAAATCCTTGACAGTCCTGGAGAGCTAAAGGAATAGCATATAAACAATCCTTTAAACCCAAAATAATATTATCCGTATTTTCTGGTATGGCAGTAGGGATAGGCAACCCAGACTGCAAAGCTCCTGTTGGTTGTATGGTCTCATTAATCTTCCTCAAATCCTGTAATAATCTCCATTATTTTTGGAGATAACTTCTAACTTCTTTTTGATCGGGAAAATAGAAGAATTCCAGAGAGAATTAGATGGCTCAATACAACCACCACTCAGCTGTTCCTGTACTAACTGCTGGACAGCCTGTATTTTTTCACTTAGAGGCCAATGATCTATCCACACAGGTTGATTAGATTTCCAAGTTATAGCATCTGCATGAAGTACAGGCTGCTCAATGACCCTTCTTAAAAATGCTCCATACCTTCCTTATTCACTTTTTCTTTAGGGGTTAAAGATGACATTTCTGCTAACTTTTGGTCAGGAACTCCTTGTTCATAGAGAGTTATATTGGACGACATAAATATACTCCCATATGGCTCATAACATTTCAACCCACAAATTTACAGGCGAGTGAGGGACAATGTATGGCAGAAAATTCCCTTCATGACTCTCTTCATCCTTCCAGGAGAGCTCATTACTGCTCTTCTCAGGACAGTGAGTTTGGCCAATCCCTTGTAGCTGTAAAACAGTCTCCATTTTTTTGCTACAGAGCAGGTCATTGACTAGCAGATATAACAGAGAAATCTGTGCCTGTATCTAAAAGACCCAAGAAATTTTACCATTTATGACTAACATAAGTTCTGCACATTGTGGTTCTATGGCTTGTAGCCAATAGGCATCTGACAAACCAAATCCAGCCTCTCCTCTCTTATCTCTTTTGATTGGATTTTTTTTTTTTTTTTGTATTTGAGGAAGATTAACTATGCAAGTCCTTGACTGATCTTTATTACTGAAATTCTTGTGGGTGAATGAGTCATCACCTTTATTCCTCCCATATAATCAGTATCAATCACTCCAGGGGCAACTAGAATTCCTTGCATGGTAGTACAACTTCTACCCAACAATAACCCCACAGAACCCTGTGGCAAATGTCCATAAACACCTGTAGGGAGGGCTTGCATTCCCATTTCAGTGGTCAGAACAATATAGATGGAAGAACTGAGATCTAATCCAGTACTACCTGGTGTTGTTCTATAGAGGTCTTGAATATATTTCTTTGCCAGAGGATTGACTGCTGAATTACCCCAAGGTCTATCTTGTTGGGGCCTGGGGTGGGCCCCTCTGTCCATTTCCCTTAAATGGACTCTTCTGGGTATCTGCCCTTGACATACATTCACTAGT